CCAGTCCTTGTGAGACAGCCACATAACAATGGTTATTATTAATTTGTGTTTTCTACGGTGGCCCATAGAGGACATGCCACATCTTTTCTTATCGCGCGATAAATGGAAATTATCGCAGCACTTTACATTAGTTGTAAAACTTCTTTATTCTCCGACGCGTTTCGTCTAACTGTCGTTAAATTATTCAGGGAGTATTACAAGCATAACTAGACGCCTACACTTATAAGCCAAAGTTGGTGGGTATTACGAGGGACAATGACCACAGAGGTTTGGCCGGAGTTACCAATAGAAAAAGGCGAAGTTGTAAAAAATTTAAAACGTGTAAGGCAAGGTGAGAAAAATATTTTGGGGGACACGGTTTTAGCTAAAACTAACACTGATTTGCAGAAAGGCTGCTCACTAGTTTATATTTAAAAAAAAAAAACAGACCCTGACGCATAAGCACTCGTTACAGCTGGCGCAAGCCTATTTCAATTCCATGAAAATACAGAAGAAAACCGTGGATCTCTGAGTAACCCAGATCAAGAGTAAAGTAGTGATTAATTGATTTTGTTGAAGATAATCTCAGATTAAATGTTGTGAACTGGAGAAGTTTAATCTGAACGCGATCTACTCATTCGGTACAGCTACAAATTACATAAAACAGAAAGCTAGACTCGAAACTGAAACAAATATTGAATTACGCGAAAAAGAATAACAGTCAAATTAAAGCGACAACTTACATATTTTTGGCCATCTCCAAGCTAAGCCGAACATCAACATCAAAAGACAAAAAAGCAAACCTTACTACGCACAAACAACGCATAACGATTTGAGCACATGGTCGCTAAGGTCATGTGATCTGCCCAAGGGGGGACCAGAGGGGCAAACTGTCCCTAACACTTTTGATACTGTTTGTCTGAATTGCGCGCAGATAAAACATCAGCAAAAGGCATGGGAAGGAGAGGGGGAGGGCAATCAATGTTAATATGAACCAGTTTTAAATTGTTTATTTATCGTTTTGCCATCTGAAGGAAGGTGGAGGATTTTGGAGATCACATAATTTTTAGGGGGGAACGGTGGAAGATCANTCGATGGTTCTCAGTACATGTAATTTAGTTATTTAAGTTTTCTGTATTTTAACCTGTTGATTTTTTTTCCATTTCAGGAAGGTATTTGGTCAAACAAAAAGGAGTACGTGATGACTAACACGTGTGAAATCCTACAGAAGATCAGGATAGGTTTAGATGTTGCCACATATCTTCTAAACACTGATCGTGGTATACAAGCCGCTCATTTGTGTTATGAATGTTTAGTCTTACTCAACAATCTATGCTTTGATATGAACGGCCTGGATGTCTCTCAGGTAATATTCAATGCTTACTACGCAATTTCCGATTACACAAACGCAGTTCAATACACTAAAAAACTTATCGCCATGTTCCACAATACAATAAAATCAATGACTGAACTGGGAGACAAATATCGAAGACAAAGTAGGATTGCAGAAGCCAAGGAACTTTTTGAAGGCGCACTTGCCATCGCAAAATCAATTGACTACAGAATTGGAGAAGCAGTGACTTATGGAAGGCTAGGATTTGTGTTTCAATCACTCGGTGAATATCAGAAGGCTAAAGAAAATCACGAGAATGCTGTTGCTATCGCAACAGAAATTGGCGACAGGGAAGGAGAAGGGAGAACGTATGGGAACCTTGGAAATGTGTTTCAAACGCTCGGTGAACATCAGAAGGCTAAAGAATATCACAAGAAAGCTCTTGCTATTGCAATAGAAATTGGTAATAGGGAAAAAGAAGGAGCATGCTACACGAACCTTGGAGGTGTGTTTCTATCACTTCGTAAAAATAAGCAGGCTAAGGAACATTTTGACAAAGCACTCGCCATCAGTATAGAAATTGGCGACAGAGCGAGCGAGGGATACTGCTACGGAAGCCTGGCAAGTCTGTACGATTCGTTTCATGACTACCAGAAGGCTACAGAGCTACTCGAGAAAGTACTTGTTATCAGCATCAATATTGGCGATAGAAAACAACAAGGTAACACCTACCTTAACCTTGGGCGTGTGTCTCTATCGCTTGGCAAATACTACGAATCGGAAAAGTACTTTGAGAAAGCGCACTTGATGAGTAGCGAAATTGGAGACAATATGACTGACTTTAAGAGCCTCCTTGGTATCACTCAGTTGAAGATATCGGAATCAAAGCTAGAGGAGGCAGTGATGTATCTTTGTCAAAGTATTGAAATTTATGAAAATTTGCGAAGTTTTCTCAAAGAAAACGATGAATTTAAAACATGTCTCTTAGAAGAGCACGGTAATTCCCCCTACGAGTTGCTCAGTTGCATGCTGTGTGCCACCGGAAGTGTGGGAGACTCTCTTAATGTGGAGGAGCTAAGACGCGCTAGAGGCCTCGCAGAATTAATGGCAGATAAACTCTCAATTGAAAGCCACATCTCAGCTGATTCAACATCTCGGCCAAGGATCGAAAGCATTGTGAATCAAGAGAGCGATTGCGCTGTTTTGTACATTTCATATTGTGAGCGGCATGTTCGTTTGTGGGTTTTAAAAGCTAATGGAGACATTGACTATCGAGTGAGCCCCGAAATGAAATTCGACACCCTCATGGCTGCAGTCGTTTGCGATGTAGAGGAAATTTTTAAAAAAAGTGCCTCCAGTTTCGGCATTTTACATCACGAGAATTGCGAGGATCGATCTTTGGGTGACGGTATCGTCATGTCTCCTCAAGAAGAGAGCCGAGCAACCTTGCAAGGAGACGTGACCAAACGGAACGAAATGATTCTTCAATTCTGTTATGACCAGCTTATCGCTCCTGTCAAAGATTTACTTACAGAGCCTGAAGTCATCATTGTGCCTGAGAAGTGTTCGTACCGAGTCCCTTTTGCTGCCTTACGGGATGAGACAGTGGGAAAGTATTTTTCAGAAACCTACAGAATCCGCATCGTCCCTTCTCTGACGACTCTGGGGATCATTCAGGAATGTCCGGGGAACTATCACAGTCAGACCGGTGCACTGGTAGTGGGTGATCCTTGGGCTGACGAAGTGCATTATAAAGGAAGTACCTGGAAATGGAAGCCATTGTTCTGCGCAAGGAAAGAAGCAGAGATGGTTGGTCGACTCCTGGGGGTTGAGCCATTGTTAGGAGAGCACGCAACAAAGCAGGCGGTACTTCACGCACTTCATTCAGTGAGCCTGATACATCTTGCCGCTCATGGTAATACCGAGAGAGGGGAGATTGTGCTGTCCCCAAATTGCACCACTAAAAGTATTCCACAAGAAGAAGACTACCTTTTGACTATGTCCGACATTTCAAAGGTGAAGCTGCGAGCTAAACTGGTCGTACTTAGTTTTTGTCACAGTGGGCGTGGAACTTTTAAACGGGAGGGAGTCATTGGAGTCGCTCGGGCGTTCCTAGCATCTGGTGCACGTTCAGTGTTGGTGGCATCAGAAGACAAAGCAACAGAGCTACTCATGAAACTTTTTTACAAACACCTGGCTGCTGGAGAAAGTGCCAGCGAATCTCTTCACCAGGCCATCAAATGGTTGAGAGGCAACGGCTTCACCGAACCTGCCCAATGGGCTCCGTTTGTACTGATGGGAGACAACGTGACCTTCGACTTGAAAAAAATAAGGTAAGCTTGTTTCTGAGTAATTTTGTTTCATTAACATTAATTACGTACTTGAGATTGTGAAAAAAAAAAACAGGACTGCCTTTTTCTTTAATTAGAAAAACGTTTGCAACTATGAGATTTTAGTTGTGACGGCACATGTTGATGGTTGTTTTTAGCCCTTTAACTCCTAGAAATGATCAACTTGTAACTTCTCCCTATAATATCCATACATTATCCGGCAAACAGGTAATTACTTATCAGGTACAAGTTGTTCTTGATCTAACACCAAATTCTCATCATAAATTTACAAGAAAATGTGTAGCAGCAAGAGGGGAGAATTAACAATCAGATCTTGGGAGTTAAAGGATTAACAAAAACAGGTTAAAGTTTAGTGTAGTTTCTTAACTGTGCAAGATAATTGCAATTATGCCATTGGTTTATAGACCGACAGGACGACGACCACAATCTGAGCGAAAAAAAATGATAAATAAATGAATAGATAATGAATAAATTAATCAATAAATCAATGAATACGGTGAGCAAGCTAACTTTATGAAGTATAATGAGAACAACTGGGAGATTATGCAAACGTAAAAAAAAGTGTCACATCATTCTAAACTCAAAATTTTTGTTTTAGGCAAAAAGAACTGACGGAGGAAGAGAATGACGAGGACAAGAAACAGGGTAGCGACTGATCCCTGACTCTCCCCCCCCCCYCCCGTTCACTGGAAGGAAAACTGGTATTTTTTTACACAAAAACTTTTAACTTTGCACTGCTCTTTGGGATGCTTTTTTTTACACGGCTAAGCTGTCCAGCAAGCGATGCCATTCGCCCAAAAGTTGTATTATGTTTGCCAGGGAGGAACAAAAATGATCAGATGATTAAAAAAATCAATAAATGGAACACGTTGAGTAAATTTTCCACAATGCGAAAATTATGGCACTGTTCTTTAAATTTGAGATTACAACAAATCATTAACCTTTTTATTTTTTTAGGATACGATTCTAGATTCTACCCTCTAGCTGCCATAATTTTCTCTCTAAATTGATAACGAGAATCAGTTGGGAGGTACGTAAGAAAAGAAAAAAGAAATCACTCTCAGATTGATAGGTGTGTATTCTGAACTGCCATTAGATATATAATGTGTTGATACTTTTGTGTGAAGAGTTCATATGTAAATCACTTCAAGGAGTGAATGGGCGAAAGGCGGTGGAGAAGACTTCAGGGTCGGAATGTTCAAAGCTGGTTTAAGATAACCCTGGGTTAGCGTGATCATATTTGATTTCAGATCTCAAAGCTTTAAAAGAAAGTTCAGTCTAACTGTTTTTGTCTACAATTTGATGATCGGATGCTCTAAAAAGAATACTGAAAATTATCACCGGAAGGTTCTTGAATGATGATATAGGGAAACCTGGATTAAAATTTAACCCCGGGTTAGTGCTAATCGGCCTTCGAACAACTGGACTCTGTTAATTTCTGGAACCTAAACTGTAAAAGAATAATAACAATAATAATGGTTTTGGCGATAGCGTGCTTTTGGTTTGAGTGTTGTAAAACTGAAAGAAAGGAATCACAACGGCCAGCCAAAAGAAAGGAAAATACCTTGGAGAGAACTCAAATTAAAAACCGACCAATCATCCCAAAACGCGGGAAAAAGCGGGCGACCAAGTCGTAATTGTTTTTAGTTTAGCACCTGATTAGTTGAGAGATTGGCGAGTGTTTTATCGACCAATCACAAAGCGAAGTAAGGCAAAAGCAGATCTAGAGCCAGCTAGGATTACTTTCGACACTCAAAACTGAACATTGCTCTATCACATTATCATTATCCTTGAAATTTTATTCTCAGCTTTGAGACTGGCTGGAAGAGAGTCCCAAGCTGATGTTGTTGTTGTCTAGGTCTTTTCTTCTGATATAAGGTCTTACAACCAAAACTTTATTACTTTTTTTTTGTTCTTGGAATTTATTCTACTACAGTTGGTATTGATATCTAGACAAAGGCTATGATGGAAACCTGATTTCTAGGTTATAAACATTCCGTCGAGATGACTATTTCGGCTTCTAATCGTGCAACCTGAATTATGAATCACTTTTCTCAATTTTTTTGTCACTTTGAAGGCATAAGTTCATATATTGAACCTCAACTTAACAAGTTGTAACAATAGTTATGATAATAATGATAACAATCTTAAAAGCAATGGAGAGTGTCGTAAAACCAAAAGCGAAGTAGTCACAAGAAAATAGCTTTAAGAGACTTTGAAGCAAAACCGACCAAACTGCTTAAACCGCTGGAAAACGCAGGCGACCAAATCATAAATGTGTTTTACTTTTGTATCTGATTGGTTAAGAGATTGGTGCGAGTTTTCTGAGCCAATCAGAGAGCGAAGTAAAGTAAAAACAAAGGAATCCCGGATTTACTTTCGATACTCCAATGAAAATTGCTCCGATAGTGATCATAAACGAAACAAACAAAAACGAAAAAAAGCAATAGATTTGATTTTAAGCCTCACAGATTAAACAGAGTCGAAATAGTTAATCCAATTAATGATGAAAAGTAAAGAACTCAGAAGGGCGAATCTCTGGAAGATTTTAGGAGAAATTGAGGTATCAAGTGTAGCTTGACGTTTGCATTGAAGATCGTTGTAAGGTACACGGATTCTAAGCCATTTCTTTCAATGCAATCGGTGGAGGAATTCTCTTAACTCTCTCACAGTACCAAAACCTCGCTCTGAAGTCATCACTGCACGAGACAAACGCTGCTCCTGTTGGGGAGTGGGTGCTACAGAGAATGTGGTTGTTGTGACCTATGTCTTTTCATCTGATATAAGGTCTTACAACCAAAAATTTGGTAGTATTTTTGTCTCTTGGAATTCATTTTACGGCAATTATTAATGATGTCTAAACAATACTGTGATGGAAACCGGATTTCTAAGTTATAAACACACTTCGTAGAGATGATTTTGACTTTTACTATGAATCTTGAACTATCAATCAGTTTTTATCAATTTTGTCAAAATGTTACCCACACTTTGAAAACATAGGTTTATTTCTTGAACCTCTACTTAAATAGTTGAAATATGAGTAATGATAATAGTAATAATAATAATAATAATA